TAGCGCAGTGCGCCACCGGGCCAGCCCAATAGTATACATAATTTTAAAGCAAAATAAATATATGAAATATGGTTAATTAGACTCAAAGAGAATGAACCTAGACAGGGTGTATATGATAAGTTAGAAATTTTTGAGATTTCATAAAGGGTTGAATGATGACTCCCTAAAAGATATTTTTGCTCTCCAGAACATTGGATGATAAAGTGTAGTGTTTCCGACAAAAAGCCAGCTAATTAGAAAGAACATATTGACACGAGGCCAGTTTTGCTCATTATTTAATACATAGAATTTGAAATATATATTTTCTCCTAGTCAGAAACTATGTCCTGTGTCCCACCCCGTAGAAATCCTGATCATTCATCAGTATCAACCACAGATGCTGCCTCATTCATGAATCTTTTCCTGTGCTTTCCCAGTTGGACATAATCTCTTCATCCTTTACTCTCTGTGGCACTTTGAGCCTCTTTTGTGTCATGAGGTGTCCTTTGCTTTAGATGATTTATAGTTATTTCTGAATTTGTTTTTTCTCGACTAAATTTCAGACTCCTTAAGGGAAGGAGACTGTCATATCTTTGCATCCTTAGAAGATATACAAACTGCTTTTTACATACATAGGCAACACCAAAAAAGATATTTTCAACTTTGGATTGGTTCCTCAATTAATTTTATTTGTAACTCTGAGGAAATACATTGCAAATATCCACCATGCCCCAGTGACCTGTGCAGAATGCTTCTAGGAGAAAGATGATACTGTAACTGTGGCTTAGGTCAGTAATGGGCCAAGCATAACCTGGAGGGAGGAGGAGTAAAGATCTAGAAGCCAGAGTTTCACAGTGGGAGAAGAAAGGATCAGGGGAGAATGGAGGTGCTAGTGGTAGGCAAAGGGAGAAGGCTTGGTACCCCACCTCAGACAGGTCTAAGTCAAGGCCCAGGCAGAGGCACCCTGGAGGCTGGGAGACTGCAGCATTGTTCTGTCTGAGCATCTGTAATGGGTTGATAGTCTGGCTGTTGTCAGGGAGCTTCAGTGGCAAGTTATAGGGACCCAGGGAGCAGGATTGAGGGACAGACTGGTTGAGAAAGTAGGCAGGGCTTCTGTCTTGCGGGGACACAGAGCTAAGCAGAAGCTAAAGTCCCAGGGCACAAGGAATGGGCAAGTTTCTAGCACTGGCACACAAAGAGTGAGGCCTGGGCAGATGCAACAGTGCCCCACTGCTTGGCTGCCCTGCTGCTATTCTTGTGTCAAGGCTCAGGACTGGTGCCCAATGTAGCTTCAATACTTAGGGAGTCACCCAGCCAGGGATCCCAGGGTGTTGCTAGAGTTGAGCAATGGGAAAATTACAGGCTTGGAGCAATTCTTTCACAGCCTGTGGTAGGTGGCAGTTTTATGAGGTCAATACATCTGGAAAATGTTTAGGGACCATTAGAATGCATAGATAAAGCCTACAAACCAACCTGTCATGGCTGACTTGTGTGCTGAAGCCTAAGTCACTGCTGTACCGAGGCCTGTGGCAGTAGAAGATTTGCAGTGTCCTGTGGCTGACAGATGCGGTATGCTTTTCAATAATAATCAGCGGAAAACTAGGGTTGAAACCTAGCCCATGGCTGACATGGACAGCATCTTAAAAGGTTGTCTGGTACAGTGTCTAGCTTTCTGGAAGATAAAAATCTAACTCGTGGCGGGGGAGTTTTCTTTTTTCTTTGCAGGATCACTGACCTGCAAGGTTAAAAAGTAATAATAGAAATTTTTTTTTTTTTAAAAAGCAAGAGCTCATAAAAATATATCACTCATGTCAGGTTTTAACATAGCATTTTGTTTCAAATTTTATTTTTATTTTCTTTTAAAATGTAATATTTATTAGATTGCTTTTTCACTATCAGTGCTAAAAACAGATTTGTAAAAAGCAAGAGCTCATAAAAATATATCACTCATGTCAGGTTTTAACATAGCATTTTGTTTCAAATTTTATTTTTATTTTCTTCTTTTAAAATGTAATATTTATTAGATTGCTTTTTCACTATCAGTGCTAAAAACAGATTTGCAAAGAAGAAAACTAAACCATAATTTCCTCGTTTAGTTAATGCCTATTTACACTGCTAATAAAGAAATGCAGGTATAAGGTTAGAAATTTCAGACAATACAGGAAAGTACAACATGAAAATGAAAGTTTCTTGTGATTCTAGGGGAAGTTTTATACAGATATGTATATATGCACTTACTTATGGGTTATTTTTTAAGAAAAAGGGAAAATATACTACACATATTGCTCTTCTAACCTAATCAATCCCAGAGATCTTTTCTATACCGGTGTGCCCAGATTTACCTGATTTTTCTGAGGAGCTGCATGATATCACAAAGTATTTACTGCAATATTTTACCAGTCCTCTAATGATAGACATATATCCAGTATTTTTCTGTTCTAAACAATGCTGCAGTGACCACTGAAATAAGCTAATTCTCAGAATCACTGCTTCTGAACATAGGGGTGTGGTTTACACCAGGGATTGGCAAACTTTTTCAGCAAAGGCCAGGCGGTAAGCTTTGCAGGTCAGGCCATATTGTCTCTGTAGCAGCTATTCACCATTGCCTTTGTAGTGCAGAAGCAGCCACAGCTGTATAAATAGAATGTGGGATATCCTTACATTGGCGTATTATTCAGCCTTGAAAAGGAACAAATACTGATATATGCTATGACATGAACGAACCATAAAAACATTATGATAAGTTAAAGAAGCCAGACACAAAAGGTCACATATTGTATGATTCCATTTATATGATATATCTGGGATAGGTAAGTCCATAAAGACTGGATCTAGGGAGAGGGGGCCATGGGGAGCAACTGCTTAATGGGTACAGGTTTCGTTTCATGGGGGAAAATGCTTGGAACTAGATAGGGGTGGCGGTTATTCAACATTGTGATTTGGACTAAATGCCACTGAATTGTTCAGTTTAAGATGGCTAATTTTATGTTATGTGAATTTCACCTAAACAAAGAAAAGAGCAATTCACATCCTGGGGGGGTTGGGGGGTCGGAAACAGCCATGGCCAATATGTAAATGAAAGAGCATTTCTGTATTCCCATGCATTGTATTATAAACTTTATTTACAGCAAGAGAAGGCAGGCCGGATTTGGCCCCTTTGCCATAGTTTGGCAACCTCTGGTATAATCAGAAAAATCATTTTGGCAGTAATGTGAAGGTATAAAGACTTGAGGCAAGGAGACTAGTTAGGAGGCTACTGCAACAGTCCAGTTGTGTTTCTTCACTTTGGGGGTGGTCATAGGCCCCTCTGAGAAGCTGATGGACCTGTGGACTCTTCTCCACCCCACCCCCAACTTTTTTATGTGTGTGCACTTAAATTTTGTCAGAAAAGCAGCTGTCCACAATTCCAAGTTGAAAGACTATGCCAGGTGGATAAGATGAGAGAGAGCTCAAACTCCCAGGAGAATGGCAGTGAAGAAGGAGGAAGTCCAGGGTTCTGAGAAGTTTTAAATTCTGTAGAAAAGTCAATGGAATGAAGACTGAAAATAAGCCATTGGAATTCTCAACTAGGTCATTGATTACCTCAGCAGGAACAGTGTCCCTAGAATAATAGTGCCACAAGCCCAGTTGTGGGTTGAGAGTGAATGAGGATTCAAGTCATCTGGGCAGAATTGTAGACTAACCTCTCAAGAGGGTACATATTAGAGGAAAGAAGGAAGCTGAAAGAGCATGAGCTTGATTGAGGGCTGGTTTTTAATAGAAAGGGAAAGATTCTTAGACTGAGGAAGGGTCCAGAACCGAGAAGGTGAAAGTGTGGGACAGTGCTGTTGGTGAAGCAAGCTCCAGACAAGGTGGGCATAGTGGGACCTACGACAGGTGCTTTCGTGGATGGATGGGTGGGGGGGTGGATTATGGATGCATGATGGATGGATACGTATATTCACGGCTATCCCTGAAAGTTCTTTCCATCAAGATATACGTGAGCACGGCCCTTCCCACAGCTGCCCTCAGCCCTCAGCCCTCCGCCCTGCCTTCACTCAGGTGCTTTTGCTTTTGGGCTTCTGTGGCTTCATCTATTTATTCAGTAAATATTCCGTGAATATATGTGGTGTTGAGGTAGTTTGAAGCACTGGAAACTTGGCAGTGGTTCCTCAAGGATTGAGGCTTGTTCCTTTAGGTCTAAGATATGCTGTACCTGAGATAGATAAGAATAGGGAAAATTTTTAAAAGGAGAGGTAAAGGCTACTATTCAAAACCCTCAGCTCCTGCCTGTGGAATTACTATTTCATGCTCAGGAAGCCCCTTTCTGGGTGCTGATGTGAATAACTTACAAATCTTGAGAAGCAGCTCTCCTTTATGACATTCACAGCAGTGTTTCTGAGAATCCTCAAAAATCATAGTTCCACATCCCATGGCCATCGGCCTAGGACTTCAGCCTCAGTCCACATCATATCTTTGGACAGTGGTTACTATTTTATGTAACAGTATGGGGGGTTGCCCTGTCATTCTGTTTCAGGTGAAAGATCCACTTAGCCCTGGTCAGTTTGCCAGTGAGCAAAGAATTTTCTTTCTTTCTTTTTTTTTTTTTAATTCAGAATGCCTTTTTTGTAGAAAGAACTATGTAAAGTCACAAAGATAAGCCTCTATGAACAAGGGTTATGAAAAGTGAACTGTAGCTGCCTTAGCATAAAGCCTCCTTCACAGAAGATTTACAAATGCTCTAGAGCCAGCAGAGGTGTTTGCACTTTCTGAAGAAGGAATTCCAGGTCTTTCTGAGGTTGGCATTAGTTATGAATGACGGAGATATCCCAATGTTCGGGTGTGCTGGCAAACTCAGTCTTAGCATCCCTGGGACTAAAATCAAAATGAACAGACTGCTCCCCCATCCTCAGGGCTGTTCATACACTCAACACACTATGGACAGTGGAGGGAATGGGTTTTGCTTGCTGACAACTAGCTTCTGGTGCTGATGCAATATGTAGTCTTTAATGTGACCCATGTACATCAAGTTAACCAGAATAGACTGGACTTCATCAATGTCCACGTCTTCCACCTGCATGAACTTCGGAGCAACTAGAAAAGCATCCAGAGAAAGCTGATGTGTTCTGAGTAACAAATACACTTTCTTAAAGAGATTCCTATAGGTGATGATCTTCAACTTCTTGAGGATGAGGAAAGTACCACAGTGGATCAAGAAGGTCTCATGCTTGGCTAGAGCCTTGCTCAGCAGGAGCAGATTGCCTTTGCTTACAGCTCTGGTTACTTCAGCAAACTGCATGAGATGATACTTTTTCAAAAGCTGGATGGTTGGCATATGACCCAATAGCATTTTCGCTGGAAGCAAATATATCAGGATCATCCTTTTTCAGCAGGAGCAGATTGCCTTTGCTTACAGCTCTGGTTACTTCAGCAAACTGCATGAGATGATACTTTTTCAAAAGCTTGATGGTTGGCATATGACCCAATAGCATTTTCGCTGGAAGCAAATATATCAGGATCATCCTTTTGTTCTTCTGACTTGAGCGGTGACAGCGTTCGAAGGCAAAGGACAGTACTCCTCGGCTTGCTTAAAGTCACTGTCAAACATAGCCTCGCATCCAACATAGTATTTATATGTGACCCTCTGAGCAGCGCTGTAATTGTCCTTCAGATCTGCTCTGTCAATTGCTCTAATTAGGGGTTGACACAAATGGAGTTTGTTGATCTTAAAGTAAATTTTAAATAACTGATTCACCAGAAACAGCATCCTCTGCTTCTTAGAGTCCTCTATACCAGCGCATGTGTCGCTGGCACACACATGGAAGCAGCTCATCAGCAATTCAGCTGCTTTCTCCAACATGTCCCCAACTTTGCTCTTTCCTTTCTTTATCAGCTGTTGATCTGCATTGTTGGCAAATACCTGAAGGTCAAGTGCTACCGCATACATGACAGGCAGAGCCCAATTTTCTTCTTTGTGGGTCTGGAACGCCCTTAGGAATGATTGGAGTATCACAGTCTAGCACTTGGAGGCCTCTGTGAAGTCATGGTTTCCCACCGTGTAAGTGTACCTTAAATGAGCTGCAAACATTTTATCATAAAGGGGTTCCAAAACTTGCTGACACTTCTCTTCTGGAGAGGCCATTTGCGACCATAGGTTTGCAACATGAGGGTGCTTAAAAGACACAAATTCTGGACAAGACACTCCATCTCTCATGTTAATGCCTTCACAAACCTGCTGCAGGTACTGTTTGATGGGGATGTGCACCATGGAAGCATGCATGGCGAGCACCGAGCAAAGGATTTTCTGCTTGTGACAAGTTGGGTGCCTCCTCCCTGCCTTTCCTTTCCAGTCTTCTGCCCCTGGCCTAGTCAGGTTCTTGTTATGTGCCAGTGCTATTGCTCAGCATCCTCACTGGTATATTTTTCTCCAGTGCAGACTGTAAGCTTCTTGAGGGTAGGGGTTGTGTCTGTATCAGTCACTCTTGTATACCTAATGCTCAGCCCAGTGTCTGACACATAGTCAGTGTTCAATGACTATTTATTAAATAGGCAGTCTTTGTCCTATTGTAATTTTTCTTCCTAAAGCAAACATCTAATCATTTTCTGAAAGTCTTTTATCATCCTTTCCCTTGATTATGCCCTTTTCCTACTTCTTCTACACTCCTTCATCAATAATTCTCAACCTGTTTTTGTCATTTTTTATCAGAACTCCAAAGACAAATTGTGTTAACATTCACAGATCACTCTATGAACAAACATATTTTCACAGAAGCTCTCAAATGCTGCAGGGAGGGAGAGCCCTGAGACAAAAGCAAATTGCCCCTGTTAAGGGTCCATCAATTGTGGTGATCTGTGGCCTGGAAGGGAGAGCCTGGGTGTAGAGTGATGCAGGTGAACAACTGTGCCATGTTAGGGTTAACTTCCACTCTGCTTTAAAATACTTTTTAAAATTCGCTGCTGTGATTACTAACAAATCACTCGTGTTTATTTTGAACTAATTTTAGGTTTATAGAAAAATTGCAGAAATAATACAAAGAATTCTTTTATATCCCTCACCCCACTTAGCCTGATATTAACATCTTACCACAATATTTCTGAGACTATGTATTTGTGTGTTTTTAACTCTCTCCCAACTCGAGCTGTCTGAATGTTCACTTCTTGCTATTAGGACTTCAATATTTTCTTAATAATGACAAAGATATTTAACTTTTAGATTCTTGGGTTACATATACTCATATTCTTTTATAGTTAGTCTAGACCTCTTTTAAAGCAGTGGCCTTCAACATTTATATTTTACTTTATTTTTTAAATTTGTTTTTTATTATTTTTACATTCTAAGATGTTGTGGAGCAGGGAAGGGGAGAGGGGAAAGGGAAGGGGGAGAGGGTGGAAGAAGGAGGAAGGAGGGAGGGCGGCATTGTTGAGGCTCGTGGCACCCCTCTCATTCCAGCAGGGGAGTCTGGGACACTTCTGGAGGCCTGGTATTCATGTAGGGGGCATGGCTGAGTCCTTTGGCCCCCCAGCTCTGGCTTGGGAGCCCAGGGTGCATCTGGCGGTGTCTTGGTGGTCATCTCTGGGCTGGATGTGGGCATTGGGGGGGGGCATGGCTGAGACCCTTGACTCCCCACCACTCCAGCTCGGAAGCCTGGGGGGCTTCCAGTCCTGCTAAGTTTTATAGGTGTTCTTGGATAGTGTTAGAACTTTACTTGTTAATATCAAATTTTGTCTCTGATCTGTGGGTTTTTTATTTTTTCTTTCAGTTCCATGTTGGATTATTAGCTACCCCCACTGCTTAAACTCTGCACTGGAACTAATTTGTTGTCCTTTGCTTACTTCTAAAATGGGGAACTTCCTGTGGGGACCAGCACTTGAGCCCTGTGGTGGAACTAAATTGTCTCTTTGCTGCTGATTCTCTGGGGAAGCCTTTTTGTGCAGCTCAGGTTTTAATTGTTGACCTTGTATGTACTTCTGAGTCTTGTGAAGTCTGGTATGCCTGGGTTGTATGGAAACTCTGGTCTGGACATGAGTCTTTTCAGTGAACTGCACCCCCTGCAGTTCTATATTCCTGACCAGTCTACATAGAGTGGGCCCGTGCTGACTGGAGGGCAGATCAGCTGTCCGTGCTGTGCCCTGTGTTCCCCCAGTGGGCCCATCTCCCCCACTGCCCGCACCCCAAACATTTCCCATGGGACAGGCCATGTGCCAGTCCCTTGTGATGACTCACCAGCCTCTGAGCGGCTCCTTTTTTCAGTTGTTGTGGCTCCTCAGTCCTATGTTGGTCCATGGGAGCCCTATTAGTGATCTTGCTGGCCTGGGTTCCACCAAGGCCCTCTTCTCCCCTGCAGCCTTCAAGCAATTTCATATGAAGGGCACAGCTGCAGCTTTTGCCAGCTCTTGCTCTATGTGCTCCTCAGCTCCAGCCTTGAAGTGGTCAGGCCTTGAAATGGTCTCAGTGGTTGGTCCTTTCTTTCTCTCATCGTGGCTTCTCCTGCCTTCATGATCTCTGTAGGTCTCTCCTCTTCCCCTGAGCTCTAGTGGCCCCAGCTTAGCTGTCTTTGCTTTTTAATAGTCGTAAATTAGTTGATTGTGGGAGAGACTCACGCTGGGGACTGTCTATTCCACCACCTTGGCTGGAAGTCCTTCAATGTTTTTAGATCATGCATCCCATTAGTAAATATTGTGAGCAACCCTCTAGAATATTTTTTATAATTTCATTTATAAAATTATATATACTACTGTTCTATGTATGTGACTTATAAAAATAGAAATTTTAAAAGGTTGAGATTAAGAAGTAAATACAGCACATTAATAGACGTTTTCGGATTTTCTTTCCATGTTCCAATGAATCATCCCGGTTTGTAGATTATTGGTTTAAATTACCGTCTTGGTTTAAATTTCCATCTCCTTTTCTGACAGAAATGGAACCTAGTGAAGAAATGATGCTGTTCTGTATATTGTTTTAACATTGATTATCCTGGACTATGTAACGTAGGAATGTTCTGATGTGTGATTTGGAAACAGCTGAACTGCATCTGAGAATCTTAGAAACCAAGTTTACTTGAAAACTTTGTGATTAATAAGTTAAAACTATTTCTCTTAAAGCAAAGCTATAGATTATGTTTGTCTTAAGGTTAAAAGAACATTAGTCTTATAGACTAGGGATTTCAGTGTCTTTATATGGGAACAAATGTTTTTTTCAGACCTAGGCACAGTATGAAAGATAAGACTGTTTGCAAGGTGCTTGGGAAAGTTCTAAGTAGGTCCCAAGTGGGGAGGCCTTTGTTCTGGAGGAAGAGGCTTAAATTCAAGGGTTAATCAGAGGGACCTTGGGAACATTATTCACTGCTAGTATAAGTCAGAGAGAAAAGTTCACATCTGGGTGTTACTGACCACCAGGCCCTTTCTTGTGGTTCTTTCAGAAGTGATATATTGTTAAGCATCTCAAGAGCACAAACTTCTAACGTAGATTTATTGGAGGAAAATGCTCCTTGTCCATATGATAAAGTTACATATTTATTTGCTTTGAAAGTAAGGTAGGTAATAATTAAGGACTCTGTGGTGGTTATTATTTGAACAAATATCCTAGCAAGTAATACTTGCTCGTGTCCAAATTAGCACCTAACACAGTGCCTGGCATATGGTAAATGTTTGTTGATTGTCATTGAGTGACTGAGTTCAGTTTTTTACGAGGTTGATTGGTCTTGTACTACAAAGTTGGACAAGCATGTGATGTTTATATAGTTTTTACTTTGAAACTATTTGTTAAACTGCACATATAAGTCTTTTGCTTTTCTCTTTGCATGTTACATTTTATGATAAAATGTTTTTAAACATTTTAGAAAAAATGTAATGAAATAAATACAGTAGGTCCCCCCTTATCCAAGGAGGATGTGTTCCAAGATGCCCAGTGGATGCCTATGGAACCCTCCATGTACTATGTTTGAATTTCTTTTTCTTCCTTCATTTTAGCAACCTCGGCATATAATTTTTCTCTTTCCTTATTAAGAACTTTTTACCTTTTTCACTGAAAGGAAGTACTTTACAGCTTCTTTTTGCATATCCAGATTGCCAGCATCACTACTCTTACACTTTGGGGCCACTGTGGAGTAAAATAAGGGTTACTTGAACAAAAGCACTCTGATACCATTACAGTGGATCTGATAAGTGAGACAGTTGCTAAGTGACTCACGGGCAGGTAGCATCTATAGTGTGGGTACAATGGACAAAGGGATGATTCACGTCCTGGGCAGGATGGAGCAGACAGTGCAATATTTCATCACACTACTCAGAACAGAGTGCAATTTAAAACGTATGAATTGTTTATTTCTGGAATTTTTCATTTAATGTTTTCAGACCTTGGTTGACCTTGGGTAATGGAAACCATGGAAAATGGAACTGCGGATAAGGAGGGACTCCTGTACCATACGTGGATTTTGTTTTCTTTAGAGGTTTATGGGTAATATGCTTAAATTTTCTTTGTCAAGTTGAAGTATAAATATTAGAGTGTCTGCTTGTCAACACATGGAATTCAGTAATTAATTAATATTTGGAAAACCCATTCCAATTTTGAACATTTTAGAGAACAAGGTTTCCAAATGTGTCTTCTAACGGCCAAGAACAGCTGCATTATGAATAGTTTTTCAGATGGCTTCTCTGTGACATCTGTGAAAATAGACAACTTCAGTAACTGAGCGTGCCTGATTGCAAGGCACGCTACAGCATTTCGTGATGTATGGGGGCCAGAGTCTCCACCATAATGGAGCAGTGTGCTGATTTGTACAAAAATACTTATTGGACTTTAATTTCAATTCTATTAGACGGTAATTGGTAAGCACGGAATCATCCAATTTTAGCAAAAAGTGTAAATATATTCTTTAATTTTTATTTATACATACTTAAGTTGGGGAATAAAAGGATTATTCCTTATCAATAGATTTAACTTGGAATGCAAGTTATAAATCAATAATAAATAATGATGACTTAGTGGGCAGTGGTGTTATGACCATTATTAGTCAGAAGTAAAAGGGAAGTTGAGAATCCGTGCCATTCATGCAAGCATGAAAGAAAGTTGAAGATATCTGGGTGGGATGAGGGTGGGGGGAGCAACACCTGCACACCAATTGCTTTTGTCTGTTCTCTTGCCAAAGTGGGTTTTGGATTTCTTTCACTAGCCTTTAATTTCTCCTTCCCCCAACTCCAATCTTTTCGTATTTACAATTCATAGGAAAAGACGAGATCAGTCTTTTAAAATGAAGCTATTTTATGTAG